AGCCAGGAGAGGTGGCTGCCAGCCTTGGCTGAGGGTCTTCGGAGCCAGGCAGGCACTCTTCTCTCCCAGACGGGCAGATAAGGAGGGCCATCTGTCTGCAGGCAAGCCTTGGGCTGCTCAGGGCTGGGAGACATGACCCAGCCTTCTGGGGACCACCCATTCTAGAACATGCCGGAAGCAGCCTGTGATCACCAGGGGTGGAGGGCCTTGAGGCGGGGTACAGAGACCGAGTGTCCAGCATAGCCTGGACCTGGGGGTACCCAGGTGTGCTAAGGCCATTGCTTCCCCAGCTCTTTCCTGCCTGCCCTGTGGTGAGCCCTGAGCAGGTGGGCAAGATGGCAGCTCCCTTTTGTTGAGTCTACCTGCAGCTGGTTTTGTTTCCCCTCCTGGGGTGCTCGCTTATCACCAGTTGGAGCTTGGGAGGTTCTGGGGAGCCAAGGAGAGAGAGGGAGGGAGGCGTGGTTAGGCAGAGAGCCAGGGCACAGAGGCTCTGGAGTAGCAGCAGCAGCTCTGCACATGGGTGGGGGTGTGTAGGGCATGCAAGGACTCACGGCTGAGTCCTTCATGGGATACACGTGAAGGGTCGGCTGCAGCTCCATGGCCTCCTGAGCCAGGCACCTATGGGTTAGCGGAGCCCCTGACTTGGGCCTACTCAATCTATTTTCTAACGATTTAATAATAATAACAATTTAAAAATAACTGCGCAGTATTTCACTGTATGGCTGTGCCGGGGCCTATTTAGCAGTGCCTGCTCGATGGAGGCTTTTCTGCCCCGTTTTGTTGTCGATGCTATTTTAGACGATGCTGCAGTGCATATCCTTGCATACGCTTTGTCCAAGTGCAGATGGTTCCCAGATGTGGAACTGCTGGGTTAAAGGGTATATGTATTAATGATCAGTTTTAGGAGCAGAGACTCTCCCACGGCCTCCTCACTCGACACCCTGGAACCCTCAGAGGCCCCCAATCCTTGCAGACCAGTGCCTTGAAGGTCCTGCAGCTCTGAGGCCTGAGCACACTATGCCATGGTTCAGGGCTTCATCCTGAAGGTGAAGTGGCGTGAGGTCGTTAAAGGAGGGTGCATTTGCTCGGGTGCAGGCTAGGCAGCAGGAACAAAGAGGCTCTTTGAGGGTGAGCACGTGAGAGGAAAGTCCGTTTCTCTTTCATGTACCTGTCTGGAGCTAGGCAGGCCATTCCACGCCTTGGCAGATTACTCAGTGCTCCCAGTTCCTTTCAAAGCATCGCTCCCTACCCCGCCGATATAATCCTGCCAGTGCAGCCAAAGCTGGGCCCTGTGTTCGCCCTTGTGGACCTGTGGTGTAGACGCAGACATGGCTCACACCACTGCCGCCCACATTCCATAGGCTCCTCATATGCCTGCACCTGTGAGTGAGGGAGCCCAGGAAATGCCATCTCTGGGTGGGTCTGTGCACACGGGTGAAAACTCCGTCACTGTGCAGGAAGGGGAGAATGCAAAGATCTGGGGAGAAGCCATCTGGGACCATGTCAGTGGACGGACGGGGCCGCCCCAGTGTGTGCCCTCCTGAACCCTCACACCCAGCACAGACTGAGTACTCAGCAGGTTTTCGTGGGGTAGGAGAGAAAAGAATGGGACGATGCCCATACACAGGTGGAGCTACCTGTGGGTGCTGAGGGCCATGCTGGCCATAGTGGGGTGGGGCAGGGGGAGGACAGGGAAGGGCAGGCAGGCGCTGCCCCTGCCACCATGCTGGACTCAAGTGCCTGCCCTTCCTTCCTCTCTAGCCCGTGGACACTTGGAGCTGACCGGCCGTAGCTGTGAGCAGGAGGCCACAGTGTGGCAGGGAAGCGTCATGGCCGGCGTGCAGCTCTTCCTGGCGGCTCTCCTCCTGCTGCCTGTGGTAAGGCCCAGAACTGTCCCTTCCAACTCCCGCTGGAGCCCCAGGCTCCTCTGAAGCCCCACCCCAGGAACCTGCCTCATATGCCCTCAGCTGACCTGTTCACTACCGCCAGACCTTTCAGCACCTTTGTATGCAACAGAAAAGGTGCCTCTTCCTCAAGACCCTGTACTGATTTGGCTAGAAACTTACAGAATCTACCAATCTTTATGATGGTGACTTGCGTGGCAACTTTGGAGCTGTGCAGTACACAGCCTGCTCAGCGGGATGCAGGGACCCCGGGCAGGGCTGCAGGAGGCCCTTGTGATCTAGTCCTGGCCAGTTAGAACTCGCAAGCCTGCCCTCTGCTCCTGTCTCTGCCTGAGTAAGGTAGGAGAGTTCCCAGGTAGTGGCCCATCCCTTCCCAGCTGGCAGTCATGACCAGCAGTGGGGGAGGCTGTCCTCACAGCCATGGGGAGGAGTCCTGCTTTGCCCTGCCTCACTGTGTGGCCACGGCGAACCTGCTCACCCCCTGAAAGCCACCTGCACATCTGTGGACAGTCCGGATTGGACTGCAGCCTCGAACATGGCCTGGACAGCTCAGACGCCTGGTGACTTCCTCTGTACTCCCTGACATCCCCCTGGGGAACCATCCCTGCCCCGGGGATTTTAATTAAAGTGACAGCATTTGGAGGCAGCTGTCGTGGTATCGGTGCATGGCCTGTGATGTGCCTTGGTGCTGAGCTTGAATTCCATATCTGCACTAATCAGGTCTGTGACCTTGGGCTGGAGTTTTTTTTTTAACTTCTCTGAGCCTTAGTCTCCTGTTTTGTAAGTAAAAGTGGTGAGTAGGCCACTGCTCCTTTTCCTGCAGCCCTGGGGAATCTGCCCCCTTCCTTAACCCCTCAAAGAGAGGGATGATGTGCTCTCTCAGCCTCTCTTCTCCCCACCACTTGATGGTGCCCTCAAATGCAGTAGTAGCCATGTGGTCCCTGGAACCACACTGCCTGGGTTCAAATTCTGCTTGTACAGTGACCAAGCCATGTGACTTTTAGCATGTCTGTACTTACTAAGTTTCCACATCTGTGAAATGGAAAGTGATAAAAATAACATTACTTCATCGTGCTCTTGAGATACGCACACACACGACACTCACAATGATGTATGCATCTAGTAAGGTGCTGTGTGCGTTTGCTAATATTACCATAAGATATGGAAACGGAGAACTGGGGAGGGAGTGGAGTCTGTCCAAAGCCGTGCATTGGGTTGATGACCTAGAAGACCCCTCATGGCATCTTTGACAAAGTGGAATTCAGGACTTGCTGGCCTTGTCCTCTCCCCTTCACTCTTCTCTTCCTGTGTTGCCCCTCCAACCCCAGACACTGCCCCTGGGGCTTAGGAGCGCTTGCAGGTAGGCCTCCCACCAATCCCACCACTCGCCCTCCCTTGTGTCCCTGCAGGCTGCAGCCATGCACTCCGACTGCATCTTCAAGAAAGAGCAAGCCATATGCCTAGAGAAGATACAGAGGGCCAATGACCTGCTGGGCTTGAACGAGTCCTCCCCAGGTGAGTGCGGGTAGCCGGGAAGGTGCAGTCTTTAGGTCCAGCATCCCAGCGTCTCCCACTTTGCAGAGAGTACAACGGGGGAGCATGGGCTGGCCCAGGAGCGCAGTGGTTAAATGCTGTGTATGGAGAGTTGGATCCCATGTGACTGACTGTGGTATGAGTCCCTGTCCCAGTGGCTTGAAAAACACACAAGGTGCATGTACATGTGATCAAAATCTTGACAGTGTGAAAAATGGAGGAAAGGGGATTACGTGAGTACACTTTGTTGGGAGGTCTAAGTATACATGCCCTCCAGCAATAGAGAGAGAAGTAGGGGTGTGTACAGATGTCTGGGACTTTCAGAAAGCCTTGTGGGGCCATGGCGCCCTGGGTCTGCTCTGGGCAGTGACACTGGGGTTGTCCTCCTTGGGGTCTCTGCCCTGGATGCTTCAGGGTTATTCCTGGGGCTGAACTGAAGCTGGTGTCTGGGCTGGGCCATGGCTGTCAGAGAGCTTGTTAGCAGGCAGCCTGGGCCTGGTGGCAGGGCAGCAGGGACACAGCTGTTGCTGGGAGCTGAGCTGGAATGCACCTGGCCATCTTGGGGCAGGCAGTACAGGGTCTTTCTGCCTCCTCCACTCAGTCCACCAGCTGCCAGAGAAGAAAGTAGCCACAGGAACCCCTTTGAGCCCCCAAGACTGTCAGACGCGGTGCCTCCCCGGGGGCTGCTGTAAGCGCTAGGCGAACCATGGGGCTCTCTGCACAGGCGGTCAGCCTCCTTGACCTCTTCCCTCACATCTGATCCTGATGACAACCGAAAAGTGCCTCCTACCATCTCAGATGTCTCCAAGGGAATAGCACAGACCCTGATGAGAGCCAGGGACCCTGTGAAACCCCTCCCCTGACTCCCTCATTGTGGAGGTGAGAAGTGAAGGGCCAGAGGCAGAGGAGGGTGGAGTTAGAGATCTGGGGGCGAGGGGGGTGGTCATGGAAGCCTCACCAGCCTCACTTATGCCTGGCTCCATGTCCACCTGAGAGTCGGGCTCGCTGCTCAGGCCAGAGGGATCCACTTTTCCCTCTGGATCCTCCCAGCTCTCTGAGCACCATCTGTTTAAATACTTGATTAATCCGCGGCCCAGTTAAATGAAATGGTCCCACTAGACCGAGCTCCCCGGCCAGTTGCTTCTCGGTGAACATTAACTGGTAACGCAGCTGCCCCTAGCTGTGCTGATCTTTCCTTCCAGCTGGGCTCTGGTGCATCTCTGAGGCGGAAAGTGGATTCTAGCCTGCCCCCCCGACCCCCAACTAGGGAAACTGAGGCAGGGGACCCCCCCCCATATGGGCACATAGTGGGAGGAGACCAAGAGAATATCCAGCAGGTATCTGGTCTGAATCTCTTGTTTGCATGGGAAATGGAATCCTTAGGACAGTTTCTCTGTAGACCTAATGCAGGTCAGGCTGCAGTGGGGCTGGAACCTGGGCGTATTGCCTCTTAGCCCAGGGTTCCTGCATTGCATGTTTTAGGTACATTTGAGATTGAGCAAGAAAAGCCTTCCGGAAGGAAGAGCAGAGACAGAGACTGGGCTGGGGCAGGGCCTGCAGAATGTCTTGTGTGCACACTGACCCTCGAGCCCTGGGCTAAGAGAACAAGTCAGGCTTGCCCACAGGGATGGCCTGTCAGAAGCTCCAGAGAGAGAGATGTAAGGCAGGCATGATCCCTGGAGGGGTGGGGCCGTGTTGGGGAGGAGGTCTCATCCCTGCCTGCTCCGGAGAGGAAGAGATGAATTCTCTGCAGGGAGCATGGGGAAGCATTCCCGGGAAGGTGACATGGGAACTCCCAATAGATCCCTGCTTCTCAAACCCAGCTGTATATCAGAGCCACCAAGGGAACTTTTAGAACAATATCCTCAAGCCATATCTGAACCAGTGAAATCAGAATTGGTCCCTCATAGTCTCCATCACGTTTAAAAGCTCCCCGGTGACTCCGGGAGAGCAAGGCTGTCCCAAGAGGTGGGACAGCATTTGATGGCAGGTGATCATCGAGGGAAGAATGAACAAGAACGTTCTAGACTGAGAGAACTGTAAGAATGAGAGGCTGGGGGTAGGAGCCTGACCTCGGGTGCAGTGAGAGCGCCTGGATCTGGAGCCCTGAACTGGAACGGGCGTGGCTGAGGGCCTGGGAAGCAGAGGTCTATACTTCGTGTCCTTCTCCAGGGAGTCGGAGGTGGGCGCCGGCAGTGATTGGCTCTCAGAGTTGGCATCTCTGCGACTGCCCCCAGAAGTCCACCTGGCCCTCCTCGGGGACTCCATGAGCGAGGCCACAGGTCACTTCTCAAATCAAATCTCTGGCGGCTTGTGCAAGATACTCCCTTGCCTGCCCACCCATCGGTTCATTTATGCACTCAGGCTCAAGCTCTGCCTTTACCCGCACCCCAACTCGGTCACTGGGCTCACGTGAACAGCTGGGCTTCTAGGTGTCTGGCTTGGGGGAGTGGATTTACATTAACCCCTATGGCACTGCGCGTAGACCCCTTTCTATGTCCCCCCCAGGGAATTTCCGAGGTCACCCTTCATTGCAGAGACTGGCAAGTATTCAGAGGGTGTGGCAGCTCGCCCAGTGCCAGAAGGAAATCATTAAGTTAGATGAGTGTCACATAGCTTTTTTAAGATGTGCATTTGGATGGCTCCAGAGTTTGCGCTGTCCACACTACACCTCCCAGTGAGGAGAGACCACACCCTCAGCTTTCCCATCCTGGCGGAAAAGGTCGCCCTACAGCAGGAGAGGCAGAAACGAGGCTGGAGAGAGGAGTTGACAGAGGGAGCTAAGATGCGGAGGCCCAAAGGCCTTGCTTTTCTTTGCTGTGGAAAGGCCAAAGGGTGTTTGTTTTTCTAAGGGCTGGAGTAGAATAAGGTCTCAGCCCACAGTGACCTGCCTGGGAAGGAGAGGGGGCCTGGGGCCAGTGAGAGGAGGCCCGTGGGGGAGGCTGACCTGAGGGGAGCATGCATTCCAGTTCACTCTGGTCTGAAGATCTGAAGAGCTTTTCTCTGGAGGCTGAGGCTACAGGATCCACATTAAGGGGGATTCAGAGTAGGCAACCTCGGGGCTCCTTTCCGGGTCTCAGTTATTACTTTTTAAAAAAAGTGAAGTTCTTTCTTTTATGAGAGAGAGAGACTGAGAGAAAGAGAAGAGAGGCACCCCACCAGGGGTGCCACAACGCAGCCCCCTTTCCCCAGCCTCCAGCCAGTCAGGGTGTGGGTATGCACACCCATGGTGTGCCAAGTCAACTTGGGAGCTGATCTGCAGTTGACCGTGTGGCTTCTAGCTCTGCATGGCAGCACGCTACCGCCTGTGTTCCCCCAGCCGGGCTGGGGCTCAGGTTCTGAGCGAGCACTGACCCTGCTGTCCACTGCCAGGGGTGGGCCTTAGTTTCCCCTGTGTCCCATAGGGGGCTTCTCTGGCCTGCTCCTGCATAGTCTCAGCTAGGGCTGGGCTTGTTGGTTCATGAAATAGAGGCAGGGGGCGCCTCGTCACGCCATGCAGCATATTAGCACTCCCTGGGAACTTGTAAAGATGTCTGGCCCCTCCCCGGATCAGTGTCCTCGCCTTTGGGCAGAGGCCCCAAGCAGAAATGTCTGAAGTGTACCCAGCTTGGAGAACCACTGTTTTCACCAGAGGTCAGCAATCTACAGGTGCTTATGTGATCTCAGGGCACAGAGTGACCAGGATGTTACTGTCTGTGCTGGGGCAAAGGAGAACAGCCAGCCCTCCTTTTGCATCCCTCTCTGCACCTGTCCCACCCATGCTGTCTGTAAGTACACACACTGCACAGCTGGCTGGGGCTCACCAGTGTCCTTGCAACCCCCTCGAATATGAAGAAAGCAAGCCCCGCAGCCCATTCCAGTGCCTGTGCATGTGAGCACACGGCAGTGCTTTTCTGTATGTATATATAGGTTGTACGTAGTTTTCACGTATTTATATATCCTTTATGTGTCGCCCCACGATCAAACCAAACAATGTGCGTCAGTTGGAGTGGGAGTGCTGGTTTGTTAGAGGTGAGGTGTGTCTGTTCCCTGTGTGGTGGTTTGGGGGATGGTGGGGTTCCTAGGAAGGCCCCTGCATTCCTCTAATCCTCGGCGCTCACTGGTCCTGGAAGCTCCACCCCAAAGAGAACATGGGATGGCAATGCATGTAGTGGCTTTCGAAGTGCAAGCTGGGGGACGGAACGCGTGAGGGGGCACTGGAGCTGGGCGGCCACTGGAAGGAGGTAGAAAGGACAGGTCAGGAACTGGCTCATTTTGTTCACCACATCCTTGGCATTGTTCTCTGTTACTGTTATTGTCAGAAAGCATGTGCCAGAGGGAGGGGGAGACGGAGAGAAGGACATGGAGAAAGTACCCCGCGGTGAGGCACGGTCACACCGCAATCCTTTCTCCTCCACTTCTCCATCCTGTTGGGAGTAGAGGCACATATGCACACGCACCAGGCATGCTTTTCAAGCCTCCAAGGTCTTGATTGAAGTTGCGCAGTTGACCATGTGGGGTCTGGCTCCCCTAACCACTAGGCCATGGGGCTGGACCCATCTTCGACATATTTTAAAAGTATTTATTAAGAAGATGAGGAGTTCAGGAGATACATTTAGCTGTTCTGTCTCTTTCCACACCCCTAAATGTTAAGTGGTACTCGAGCTAAACCAAGCCCTGCTCTGTCATGTGACACACAGAGAAGCCGAGACCGGAGGTGGTAGGCACTGGCTGGTCACACAGAGAGCCAGAGCCAGCTCTGGGATGGGACCCAGGTCTGCCATCTCTGCCAGAGTCCTTGTGCCAGAAGAGGAGGAGACAGAGCTGCCGTGCGTGGGAACTCGTGGGAGCTGGCATCCCAGGCCATGCAGCCCCTGGGCACTGCCTGCTGGGCTGGCCCCTTTGTTCTCTCTGCTTAGCCTGGGCAGCCTGTGTGTCCTGGCTGAGACCCGTCAGCACCTCCTCCTTGCAGGGCTGTAGGCTTCCATCAGCCTGGGAACCTG